TATAATTATTAATTATTTATTTAATTCTTTTTTTTTGTTTTTTTTTTCTTCTTTTTTATATTTTATTTATTTATATTTCTATTTATACATATACTATTTTTATACAATATATATATGTCTTTATTCCCCTTTTTTTTTCTACATATATAACTCCTTTTCTTGTATATTATTATTATTATTATTATTCCCTTTTCTTTTTATTTTCTTTCTTTTTTATTTTAATTAATTTATTAATTATAATAAAAAGAAATTAATTTATTTATTTATTTCTTTAATTTATTACTAATATTTATATTTAGTTATACGTGTCTTGTTGCTGTGTATACACTGTATACCCCTCTATTTATTATTTATTATCTTTTATCCTTTTATTTATTTATTTATTTTATTTTATTTATTCTATTTATTTATTTATTTAAATATTTATTTATTTATTCTATTTATTATTTTTTTTTTTATTAATCTTTTTCCTCTTCTCTGTCTATCAGAGACGAGGCTCTCTTTTTCATAGAGAGAGTGCCTTAAGGAAAATATATAAATAAATAAATAAATAAATAAATAAATAAAATAAAATAAATAAATATATAAATATATATACTCTTTTTTGTTCTTTTTTATATATTTTTTTTATATATTCTTTTATTATATAATTGTGTTTTATACATCCATACATTTACATTTATTTAGTGTATTTATTTACTTTGTTTATTTACATTATTTAATTATTTTATTTATTTATTTAGCTATCTGCCTATTTATTTATTTATTTATTTATTTATTTATTTATTTATTTATTTATTTATTAATAGATATAAATAGACAGAAAAATTAAATAAATAATTTTATTATTCCTTTTATTAAACCCAAATTTTAAACTTAAACACTCCTTTAGGAGATACACACCAGCAGCAGCAGCAGCAGCAGCAGCAGCAGAAGCAGCAGCTGCTGCTGCTCCTGCTGCTGCAGCTTCTGCTGCTGCTGCTGCTGCTGCTGGAGAAAAAAGCTGCAATAGCTGCTGCTAATGCTATACGGGCTGCTGCTAATACGGAATTAGCTGCTGCAGCAGCAACAGCTGCTGCTGCTGCTGCTGCTGCTGCTAATTTATTAGAGGGAAATAAATAATTATTTTATTCAAATAACAACAAAACGGCAAACAGCAAACATAAAAATAAAAGTGCTGCAGCACAGACGCATGCAAATATCTAAGGCAGCAGCAGCAGCAGCAAATGCAGCAGCAGCAAATGCAGCAGCAGCAGCAGCAGCAGGAGAAACAGGGGAAAGTATGACTACACTATATGGTTCCCCTACAGTTTGTTTGCTTCCTCTTTAGAGTATTTCTTCCCTTTCTTAACTCAATTGAGTTGTTTGCTGCTACTGTTGTTGCTGCTGCTGCTGTTGCTGCTGCTGTTGCTGCTGCATTTCTTTAAAAGTACAAGACAAAGCCAAATTCAGCTGCTGCTGCATGCATCTCCTACAATTCTTGCTGCAGTCGTTGCTGCTGCTGCTGCTGCAGCAGCAGCAACCAATTCTTCAAATTTAAAGCCGCAAGTGCTACTGCTGCATCCAATCATTCAACCCTAAAGCAGCAGGTGCTGCTGCTGCTGCTGCTGCTGTTGCTGCATCAGATCGGTCTACTGGATACCATGGTGCTCTCAATGAGCGAGGATTGGCTGCTGCTCTTGCTGCTGCTGCTGCTGCTGCTGTTGATTCTGCTGCAGCAACAGCACGAACAACTGCTGCTGCCTCTAATCCTTTAGGTGTCTTATATTTCTTTTTTTCTTCTTTTTTTTCTTCTTTTTTTTCTTTTTTTTTTTCTTTTTTATTCTTTTCTTTTCCTTTTCTTCCTTCGTCAATTGTATCATCACGCTGCAGCCATTCAAATGCTGCTGCTTCCATCCCTGGTGCTGCTGCTGCTCCTGCTCCTGCTGTTGCTGCTGCTGCTGCTGCTGCAGTTGTTTTGCGTCTTGGCCACCAACTACTTTGTTTCTTCATAGTTATCTCATCTCCCTCCTCCCTATCCCTACCCCTGTTGTTGTTGCTGCTGCTGTTGTTGCTGCTGCTGCTGCTGCTGCTGCCTAGACCCCCCTTCTTATCTGTTTTTCTATGAGAAAAGAGACGCTGGAAGTCTATAGAAGTCTTTGGCACTCGGCCAAAGTATGCCTCTGTTGTACTCATATAACGGGACGACTGCTGCTGCTGCTGCTGCTGCTGCTGCTGCTGCCTCCATTTAGGTTGTATGTAAGACATGTCCGTGTCTTCTGCTAGTCCAGCAGCAGCAGCAGCTGCTGCTGCTGCTCCTTCTGGTGGAGATACACCCCACATCTCCTTTCTAAAGCTAGAGGAAAGAGCATAGGATTGCGTTGGATACGCAAATCCGCCACCGTTGCTGCTCCTGCTGCTGCTCCTGCTACGGCTGCTGTTGCTGTTGCTGCTGCTGCTGCTAAGAGTCTTCTTCCTTCTTGCTGCAGCAGCCTTAGAAGGCCTAGCAGCAACTATCCTTGCTACTGGCGAGCCGTTTCTCATTTGCTGCTGCTGCTGCTGCTGCTGGCCGGTAATCTTCTGCTGCAGCGACGGCCGCTTAACCGTACGTACACTAGAAAGTTCTAATGGTGCTGCTGCTGATGCTGCTGCATTGCTGCTGCGACGACGAATTGCTGCAGATGATTTTCTTTCTTTTTTATTTTCTTTTTTTGTTTTTATTTCCTTTAAGTCTAAAAATGATCCAATTAAGCTGTTACTTATATCTGTAGGCTCAAACCCTTCTGCTGCTGCTGCTGCTGCAGCAACGGTAGCAGCAACGCCACTACGATTAGCAACTGAAGATGAACGCCGCAATACAGTGCTCCTCTCCCCTCCCCTTCCTCTGGCTGCTGCTTCTGCTGCTGCTGCTGCTGCTGCTGCTTCGCCATCTTCAAGAGCTTGTAGCTGCTGCCAAGGCAGAGGTTGGCCTCTAGATGCAGTAGGTTTTGCTGCAGCAGGAAGGCCTCCTGCTGCAGTACCTTGACTATAGCTGCGCAAATAAGCCTGAGGACCTGCAACAGCAGCAGCAACAGCAGCAGCAGCAATAGCAGCCGAATGAGCACACTGATCTCTTTGTGTCCTCGTACATTATATAAGGTGTATAAGTAATTATTAATTATAATTATAATTAATTATAATTATTTATTATTATTATTAATTATTATTGTAGGGTTTGCATGCCCTTACCTTCTATAGCACCTATCGGTCCGCTGCTGCTGTTGAATTTGTTGAAGGCGTTGCTGCTGCTGCTGCTTCTGCTGCTGCTGCTATTGAAACGCTGCTGCTGTTGCTGTTGCTGCTGCTGCGGCTGCTGCACTGCAGCAGTGGTTGTATGTACGACCTCTATCCTCCTAAGGAATTGTACAGATTTAATCTCCCCTCTAGTGTGTGGGGCCCCTGCTGTGTATTGAGCACGAACAGCAGCAGCAGAAGCAACAATAGGATAAACTTGCTGCTGCTGTCTTTTATATCCTCCAATTGGATTCGTTGTTGATCTAAATGTGCTCTTGTTGCTGCTAGGTAACCCCGTGCTGTTGCTGCTGCTGCTGCTGCTGCTGCGTCCTGATAAATCTCGCTCTCCCTTCTGCATGCAGAAGACACACAGCACAATAAATATAAATCCTTGCTGCCTCCCTCCTCCCTCTCCTCCTCCTCTCTCGTCTTAGGGGAATTGCTGCTGCTAACTATAGAGGCATCAGCTCCCGCTGCTGCTGCTGCTGCTGCTGCAATCGCAGTTAATCTACATAAGAGGCAATGGCATATATTAATTATTAGTATATTATTTATTGCTACTTCCTCCAAGTCCTACAAGGAAAACTAATGCAACAATTAAGGGGAAAAAAGAAGAATAATCCTTACTGCAGCAGTTTCTTCTGATGCTACTGTACACATAACTTGTGCACTTGCAGCATGGCTCTCAACAACAACTCCTCCTTGTGTCCATCTAAGAGACTGAGAGAGACGCAGGTAACTCCTTTGGGGTATAAGACGGGGGGGAGGAACAGAGGGGCCCCATCCTTTGTCCTCTGTGCTCCGCCATCCGCCAGTCGGAAGAGGGAAAGAGGGGCCCGTTAGACCCCCTAGACCACCAGGGGGGCCCCTAGAACCCCAGGGTAGCATTATAGGCACAGTCGTACTCATTTTGCTGTTCAAGAATTTGGGGAAGCGGAGATGTTGTGGTGGACGGGGAGTGTGTAACCCGATACAGAAAAACACCAGAATAGACTATTGGCATGAAGGAAGAGTCACTCCTTGCATGCACACTAGGGTGTTATTGCCTATAAGGCGGGAAAAGTCAAGGAAAGAAGAAGTCGGGGAGAAGAAAGCAGTCGATCTGGACAATCGTCAGCGCAAATATGCAGATGCAAGCGGTGCCCACATTACAGCACCTACTTTAGCTCAATACGCCGCAGGATTGACGAGTTTATTGGATAAGTAGGTTTAAATGCAATAATGTGCAAACTTGGTGTGAAGAATGGGGAAAATGCGTGGCTCATGCGACGATGCCTTATACAGAACCGTTCCACTCAGAAGCCACGGTATCAAGGTGTGCATGTAGGGAAAATAGTTGCATTTTGAGGAATCTTTTGGACAAATAGATTCTAAATCATAAATACTTCTTAAATTAAGAACAGAACATCAAATATCAGTTATTATTATGTTGGATCAGCCTGCATGACCGGTGGGCCGGTCGGCCTCTCCGCCGCCGCTGGTGCCTCGGGTTGCTGTAGCGAAGACGCGGTGTATGCATGCCTGACAAAAATGGTTTTCTAGTAGTCTGTTTGCACCCAAGCATTGTGTATTCTTCGAAATAACACCGAAATGTACTTTATAAATACAATTTCGCCTTTGTTTACTCCTCGCTACTCATGTTGTTGTGTAGGGTTATGCTGGATGCTCTACTAGGAAGTAGAACGTGCTTCAACTGCCGAAGAAAGCACCGACTAAACAATTGGCGTCTTTGGATTTCAAAACTTTGTTAATTTTTAGGAATATCTGTGGGAACTTCTTAATTGCTTCCTCTGCTTTCTCGATATTCAATTGGAGGGTTTCTTCGCACCACATATACAGCAGAGGCGGCGGCAGTGTTTGTGTTGGTTTCAACAACAACGGATAATAATTCAAGTTCTGCAAGAATATAAATTCTGTATACTTCTTACATTTCTCTTCTTTTACACATTTAAAGAGGATTTTCTCTCCGTTTACCGCCGCCAGCCTCCTCCCCAGACGATGCTGGTAACATTCCTATCGAAGGAAAGCTGCAAAATAACTTATATCTATACACCTTATTTTAATTGTAATTGTTAATATAATGGCGTTCTTCGGCATAAGTACAAATTTAATTAATTGTGGCACTCCTAGTGCAAGCCAGAAATCAGAAAGCAGTGACATGACACCCCAACAAGCTGTAATGGTTGCAAGAGAAGTTCGTCTACGAGGAGTTACAGCAGCACAACAAACATATGCTCGTCTACATTATGAATATGTACAAGCATATGCACTGTATGAACAGTTACAGGTTAATAATATAAATATTCCCCTTTATTCCCTTTTCTTCTCCTTTTTTTTCCCTACCTTTTCCTCTTCTTCCTCTATTGATCCTCCTCTTCCTTAACTGCAACAAATTATTAATATGCATGCAATGCATGCATGCATTTGTTGACAAGAAGGAGGAATAGTTATAATAAAAGAAGTATTTTTTTTCTTTTTTATTCTTTTTATTGTTGCATGCAGGCAGATGTCAATAATAAATCAACAACAATAGAGTCTTATTTTAATGGACAAGAGGCAGCAGCAAGAAATGTCATGGAAAAAGCAGCAAAAGAAAGAATTATACAAATACAACAAGGAGGAAATGATTATACACACCCTAAGTATCAAGCTCTTGTTGCAGGTATTCTTTATTTATTTATTTATTTATTTATTTATATTATTATTATTATTTTATTTATTTATTTATACTTTTTTGTTTCTTTCTTTCTTCTCTCCCTCTTTTTCTTCCTTTTCTATTTATACATCTATGTTTCTCTGTTTCTTTTCCCCCCCCTTTAGGGTATTTGTTTAATTCCCCTTTTTTTTATTTATTAATATATATACTTTTTATTAATAAATATAATTAATTAATTAATTTATTTATTTATTAATTTATTTATTTATTTATTTATTTAATAGGCCTAAGTGCAGACCGTCGCCGTGCAGTAGACGAAGTTCTTGTTCCTTATTATTCAACTTTACAAGAATTAGAGAAAGCAGAAAATGCTCTCTGGTCTAAGCATGCATCTATGCAGGCTGCACAGGTATATACAGCTGCTGCTGCTGCTGCTGCTGCTGGTGCTGCTGCTGTTGCTGCTGCTGCTGTTGCTGCTGCTGCTGGTGCTGCTGAGTTGGGCTCTTTTGATGTGTTATGATGAATAAATGCCACAGAAAGAAGGCAGCATAAACTGCTGCTGTTGCTCTAGTGCTACTGCTGCTGCTGCTGCTGCTGCTCTAGCTACTGCTGCTGCATTTGCTGTTGCTGCTGTGTATTAATATATGTGGTTATTTGCTGCAGGAGGTGCAGCAGCTATGGGCATTAGAATTGAATGCTGCAGATATACAACTGCAAGCAATGCCTGCAGAGGTAGAGGCATCTGCTGAGAGGGTTAGTATAATAAATAAATAAATAAATAAATTAATTAATTAATTAATTAATTATGTATATATGTATGCTTTTATTGCTCTCTTCCTTTTTTTTTGTTTTATTTATTTATAAAATAATATATTAAAGGATATCTTACTACAGTGTATATTTCTTTATTTATTTATTTATTTATTTATTTATTTATTTATTTATTTATTATTCTTGTTTGTTTGCAGAATATGGCAGAATTACGTCATTTAGCACAGAGAGTAGCAGAAATAAGGAAGAAAAGAATATTAAAAAGAAGAAAAGAAAAGACAGTTGTTAGACATCTAGCTGTAGATGGAGGTGTATATACACCACAAAATGATACAGGATCCGTAGATAATACACAGGTAAATAAATAAATATATAAATAAATAAATAAATATATAAAAAATAAATAAATAAAAATAATTATTCCTTTACTCTTTCTTTTCTTCCCTTTCTTCTTTTTTTTTTCTTCTTTTTTAATTTATTTATGCTGCTCGTGATGGCGCAAAGCAGGAGAGAGTTTTTTTTTCTGCTTTTTCTTGCTAATTTCTTCACCTATTTAATAAAATAAATTAATTTATTAGTTAATTTATTTATTTATTTAATTTATTTAATTTATTTTGTGTTATTTATTTCTTGTATACAGCGTTTATCTACATCAACAAGAGGATCCAAGACCCGTACATCTTCTGCTCCTCCTTCTTGGGGTTTTTGTGCACAAGAAGGAAAAAGTAAAAGAAAAACAACAGAAAAAAGAGTAGACTTTGATGCAAGTAGTTGGCTATAATTAATTAATTAATTAATTAATTAGTTAATTGATTAATTAATTAATAATCAATTAATTATTAATTAAAAAAAAAAAAGGAAAAATAACGGATATA